TGAACGTGTAAATCTTCTATAGATGAACCAAACCACGGTCTTCAGATTGTACCAAACTTCTAGGTATAAAAACCATAAAACTTCTTGATAGGAATTCAAAACGTCTAGATATAAATCCACATAAACTGTCTAGATATAAAACGAAATAAACCGTCTAGATAGAGCCATGCTAAAAAGAAAGGCGAATGTTATAACAGGAAATAGGAACTTTGAACAGGATTTAAATAAAATACTTTAATTATTAAATGAACAATTTAAAACTATTAAATGAATAATTTCTCATAGACTAAAATTAATATGAAAAGAAAAAATCTTATTTGATACATTTAAACATAGTAAAGCATAATATCTTATTAAAAAAAAAATATATATAAATTTATATAAAACGTGTTATCCATTGTTGAGGTTACGTTCAAAATTTGACATTTTATTTAAGAAATTCTTGTACAAAATATATATTTTCAACAATATATCAGTATTAAAACTTACCTTATAAAATCAGACGGAATTTATGATAGATAAAAATTATTCAGTAAATCGGATGACCAAGATATTAAAATTCAAATCAACTTGTTTCGTTGACAAATTCAAATCAAATGAAATACGAAATTTTGACACAAGGCATAAATGACATTTGAGTAGAGGTGATTGTGTTGAAATAACGAATAACTGTTCCAACCGTTACAATACATATTCAAAAAAATATATTTTTAAATGATGATTTTATGTACCCCTTAAATAATAATATAGGCACCCACACCTAAAATTTCTTGATCTGACATATTTATTACTCCGAGGCGATTTCGATTCGACTATAAATGAAAATTCAAGCATTTTCTCTCAGTCCGTATAATAAAAGATCTTGTTATATCATGTAATTATTAATGAATACCTTCATAGTTTTTCATCATAATTCAATTAAAAAACTTTTTCAAATTTTAATTAATTTTAGCCAAAAATAAATATTATTTTAATATATATTTTATTTTCGAAAATAATTTATAAATTACCAATTTTAACGATATGCTTTATTATACAAAGTGTTTATGTTCTATAGGAATCCGTTATAAAAGAAAAAATAAAAAAATTGACACCTACTTTCGGTAAAAGCGAAAATGACAGAACTATCAAAATATTTTACATGTTTACTACTCTTACTAATTTTTAAGAAAATCAGTCCATTAGTTTTTAAGAGTGCCCCTCGTCGCTGGACACCTTATATATCTTGGTTCTTATTTTCTATATTAGAGCAACCCGGTGTCTCTGTATGTATTAACTGATCTAATAAAAAATACTTACTTAATACAATATCAGAAAATGCAACCGCACTAAGAGAAAATTATAAAAAATATCATTCGCGTACGTCACCTGCCCCAAATGGTACTGAATACTACATTAGTTATTGTGTCCCCATAACTGTATGCGTATTGGGATTCGCTTACACACAAATTTATGAAACCAATATTTATTGAAATATATTTATTTTTTGTAGGGGGCGCCACTTTCTAGTACAACAACTAGTCCCCACTTCAATACCGAAGTCGAAAAATATACACACCTGATATTTTACCTAGTTGTGGGGACAGTAACTTATTTAACAATTTTGGTAAAAGTAATAACTCTAGATTAGTTAAAATTAAAAGTACCACGAACAAATTTTTTTGCGATATTTTTATGTAGCAATGATCATTAAAAGAAAACAAACAACGAAGATAAAGCCAAAAAAAAGTTGTGGGGACAAGTGTGTATGTCCCCACAACATTAAATGTCCCCACAACTTTTACTGTCCCCACAGTCCTGGTTTTATTCAGGCGAAAATCCCACAAGTACGGTAAAACATACACACACACACACACACACACACACACACACACACACACACACACACACACACACACACACACACACACACACACACACACACACACACACACACACACACACACACACACACACACACACACACACACACACACACACACACACACACATAAAAAAAAACTTTTATCCATTAAACAGTAGGACGACCTTACTTCGGATCTTAGACCATAAGGGTTGTTTTTGACAAAACACGCCTATTTCGTATCAATATTTTTTTTATTTTGAACGTGTTTTAACTTGTACATCAAGGTCTTAGAAGTAAAAATAATATTTATTTATGTAGTTTTTTTTCTTTCAGAAATAGACAGCTTTGAAAGAGCATTAGAGAGATATTGCAAGCTCACATAAGGCCAGTCACTATTAGTGCCGCTCTTATTTTGACATCTAAACATGCGCAGATCGTTTAGGTTCTAAAACCGACTTTATTGTATTATATTATTGTAAGTATTAAATATTTAATATCATCGTCATCTAAACCTTCTAAAAATTATAATTTCTAAATCCTTTTCAATATTATGTACTATTATAGACAACAAAAACGATGAACTGTGATTTAACATTTTTAAAATGAGGTTAGAAATATGTATAAAGGACAATGACTCTAATGTCAAAATTTCAGGTTTGCAATAAGTCTTATTTTAACATGGAATTTATTTGCCTCTAATTACGTTGTCACTATTAGTTATAGAAATTTGCAATATCTCTCTATTAATGGAAAATAAACATCTTAGTAATCCCAATATGTATGATGTTTGGTGCATTGACTACCAAAATTTAATATTTTTACACCGTTTCATATGAATTTATTATTTCACCCTTTTTAACCCCATTTTCAAACTCTAGAGAGGGATGTAGATAAGCATAATTATCAGATATAAAATATAATATATTCAGAAAAACTTAATAATTTGAAACTATTTTTGCCAATTTTTGAAATTTTTTACCACAATTTTGGGATCAAATTATTAAAAAATGGCCAAACTAACATTTCTGACCGTATTTTTTTCATGATATACATGACAGAAGAAACAATATAAATAAAGTTTGGGCCGGTTACATCGAATGTTTTTTATTTTATTTTTTAAAAAATTTATCGTTCGCAAATCGATTACCATTAACTCTAGGCGGTTAACACAAATTTTTTTTTTCGATTTTTCCCCTCTTCCCTAGCTCCGAAACGGCCGGCCCGCCACGCATATAGTATGCAAGAAAATCAAATTTACTATAGAGCTTAAATAACACGAGTCAGACGATTAACATGACTTTTTTATCGTAAGGGCTATTTCCTAGACTATAAACGGTAATCGAGATTTCTATATTTTTATGTTTAGGTAGAAAGGTAGTGCCACTTCTTTTAGCGGTTTTTTTAACTGTTTAATGACAAATTTTTTTGTCTTCTTTAAATTTTCATTTTCATTTTGGGTACTTTTGCGGGGTATCTTCGTTATTTTTAAAGCTAGAGAGTTGCGGTATTCGCGGCACCTTGCAACTTTTTCGTAAAACTAAAGAAGCCGTTAACAAAATTTTCATAGCCCTTTTAGTTTTTAAGATACAGGGCATTTTTGAAAATGCAGATTTCAATAAAATTTTGTTCATTTTTAAAACGGAAAAAATGTACCAAATTATTACCTTCCTGGTATAATTGAATCAGGTTCCGCTGATTATAAGAGTTTTGTTGTTGCTAGGTTGTTGCTATGTTACTTGTTTATAAACAGAACGTTGTTATCAAGCTGTATTTGCGTTAAATAATTTTATTTCTGACAGAGATATTATAAGCTTATATCGTCATAGTTATGCTATCAATAAAGAGGGTCATAACTCCCTTGGGACATTATAGATTCTATAATTCCCTCTACCTTTCACAAGTAAAAATAAAATAAAAAATGCTAATATACATATATGTGTATATATTTATGAAATGAAAACTGAACCATATTTTATTTATTAGCGTCATTACAAATAATAAATGTACCGCCAGGGAACTTTTCCAACCTCCGTGTCTTTTTGAGTTAGTCATAGTTGCTCCTGCATTGGCTAGAGCAGTAGAAGAAGTGCGACGAAGGCAATGTCCCGTATAGAAAGATGGGTTTGGCAATCCTAAATACATTGCGATTTTGCTGGGGATTTTCCCAAACATGTTTTTTCCAATTGGCTGAGATGTACATTTATTTTATCGGAAGCTCAAAAAAAATCGTTCAATACCTTTAGGATGCAAAGACATATAAAGTCTTAACAAATGCAAAGCGGAGAACTCTTTTTCATCCACAATTGTAAATTTCTTCGATACACCAGTGTTTTACTTTCCGGTACGTTCACTACCATAACGGAATCCCGGTCCTCTATATCCGATATCTTCATATTCAAAAGTTCCTGACTTCTGCATCCTCCAAATTAACCCATAATCAAAACAACCTAAAACGAAAAAAGGAAATAAATACACACAAAAAGGAAAATAGGAAAAACTTACCTTATGCACTAAATGAATTTCATTAGAAGCGTTCTTTAGAAATCTGATAACATCATTAGGAGATAAAACAGCAGACTTTTTCGGCTTATAACTCTTACTCTTTCGTTTCAAAAAAGCCTCTAGTTCATGTAGTCACCATCGATTTTAGCATTGACCATTTAGTCCATAAAGAATTCGGATTATACGTTTCTGACTGCAACGAATAAACACAATTACTACCAAATCTACCGAAAAACATACAATATTCCTTACCAATTCTTGAAAATATGCCAGTAATACAGTTTCAGTGGCATCTTTTGGCATAACATTATTCCGTGTTAGCCACTCCAGATATTCTTTTTGGTATACGGCTTCACTATTTGATGGAATTAATGATTCTCTTGCTTTTGTAGCTTTTTTTGAAAATCTGCTCCATTATATTTGGGGTAGAAATAGTTTTTATGTATCAAGGAAATTAATGGGCCTTAATAACCTCAAGCAATTGCTGACCCTCGGGCCAGAGGCCCTCGGGACGCAAACTCTGCCATCGGTAATTAAGGCCCTTATAATTCCCTTGATACATAAATAACTATTGAGTTATAAGGCAAACTTATGTTTTTTATACGGAACACCCTGTATATTTATAGACTATAAAATTTCTTTTTTACCTTTTCAAAAATATAGTGTGCACTATTTCCCAAAAACACGCAAATACATGTCAGGTTTCTAAAATTAATTGCATAATTTAATAGTAATAGTAGAAAAAAACTTTGAAAGAGTTGGTATATTTTATTAACTGTGTTCTATTTTTTAAACATTTTATTTTAATGACACGACAACACTGCTTATAATAAAATTGAAACGATTAAATATAAAAATTCTGTGGAAATTACATACTTTAAAACAATAATTTTAGTAAACATTGTTATAGTCAGGTTGTAAACTGGTTAATATTACTAATAGTAAATAAAATTCAATTTGTAATTATTGTACCTAAAGAAATAAAGTGATTTGAAGTTGGGAATTAGAGGCTATCGAAGATGGGAAAAGCATTGTTTTAAAACTCTCTAAAACAGCCGAGATTTGTAAAATGTATATATCTACTTAATACAAAATTATATTCCAACATAATATACAAGTTACAATTGAAGATACTAATACCACGAACGTATTACTTTGTTATGTGGCAGTCCCTAGTCATTCTTTTTTATATTAGTTACCTAGATAAAAATTTCACTACGCGCAGAGATGAGAATAATCGGAAGAAGGTATTATATGTAGATACATAATTTTTTCGGCAGTTTTCTCAGTTTTTTGCATTTTACTCAAAAACGATGCATTTTATTAAAAACAAACAGTGGTCTATCGATTATGTTTTTATACATTTTTGCTAAACTTCATATTTTTGCCACTAGAGCGGTCCAAAAAAATAAATTTATATATTTTGCGGTTTTTCGCATTTTACATAAAAATCATGCAATTTAATCTAATTTTTTCAAAGCAAAGTTGTATAGCGGAAAAATTTTTGTCGAACCTATAAACAGTTTTCCGCCTCTACTACGCATGCGCAGAAGCAGAGTCGTTTTTTCAATCAAATATTAGGGTAAGGCATCACACTTATAATCTTTCTCTTAACAAATTTGAATGAACATTTATTGAATACTTTCTACGAATGCTCTGTAGCGGCCAAAACGATGAGTTTTCGAAAAATCTGTTTGATAGGTTCCATGAAAATTTGTGTTATTTTTATGTAAATTGCAAAAAATTGCAAAATGGTATAATCTCTGCGCATGGTAAAATTTTCTCAGAGGAAGTCAAAATCTTCATTGTTATCTGAGTCTCTAGGCTGTACTAAAAACTTTCGTATCAATGTTTTTTTTTAATTCCCGTGGACTATATTAAAAAATTAAAGTTTAAAGCCTTGACCCACCATACAATATCTACCTCATTTTTATTCCAACATAAAGGGTCATTAAAAACACCTTAAAATCAACTCCAAAAAGTCCTCATACTTAATATTTATGTTCCCAGTGTACTCAGGATCTCTACTCTTGAACTCGTCAGTAAACCTTTGAATTTGAATACAAGTAATGATAAACTGATCAAGTGACATCATTTTAGCTACAGGATTGTTCCTGGTGATCAAAAACCTAATAAATTCGGGCGAAAAATGTATATCTAACTGCCTCAAACAATAATCCAACTCAGATTCGTTCAAGAATCCTTTACCTTCTTTGTCGAAATTATTGAATGCTTTCAGCCAAATTTTGATGTAATAATACAACGTTTCGAATTCTTTAATATCTATGCCACCGTTTCTGTCTAGATCGAAAATTCTTACTACAAACTTGCAAGCTGAATCTGAAAAGTGTTTGCCTTGGAAGGTTTCGAAGGCTTGTTGGAGTTCTTTTGATGAAATTTTTCCTTCTTGTTTGGTGTCCATACTTTGAAACCATTTTTCTACCGCTGGATGGTTCGATTCAATTTTAGATGTAGCTTCTCTGTCTCTGGTGATTGAGGAGAGGACTGTGCTTTCTCGCATGAAGAAACCACGTTTCTTATCTTGGGATACTAAAAATATTTGAAATTGACTGTTTAAAGTAATAAACAAAGTAATTTTCGAAAACTTTTGAACATAATTTTATTATCTTTGTATTTTCCAAAAGTTTAAAACAAGTGAATTTATTTGGTAGTCTAATGAGGCCAGTTAGCCAAATTTAAAAACATAGGTACTATCAACAAAAAGACTGCTAAATTAGTTCAATTTGTGTTGGGTTAACTGTGACGTCACTTGGTGGATACTTTAAAAGTCATCCAATTTAAAACGTTCATCGATACACCCTTTTTTTAAAATTACGACGTTCAAACATTTTTAAATTCAAAAGATGATTTTGACCCAGAGAGATAATGAAACGCATTTAAGAATTATAGTAGTAAATAAATAGGCAAGAGGTAGGTAATAAATTTAAATACTATGGCCATGTTATCTAAATATATTTTTTTTTTAATTGACAAATTTGAAATATTAAGTATAAGTCGAAATTTATATACAGAGTGTACAAAAAGTAATGTAACATACTAATATTTAGATTTCTGATAGGTAAAAAAGGGCACAGGCGAATTTCGAAACATCAAACCAAAAGCGCTCGCTTTTAAAGTAGTTAGGACGTGGGAGGACGAGCGCGCTTTTATGGTGTAGGTCTATCATGGAACTTTTTATTGTTTTAAATTCTGATAGGTTCACAAAAAGCGTTTTGGATAAAAAGTTTATAAAATAAATTAAATTATTAAATTATGTCAGTTAGAAATATAACAGGCGCACTATTATTCCAAAATAACGCAAGGATGTATTTGAGCTAATAAAGTTAGCACATTGCAATTTTAACAGTTTTATTTTAAATTTAGTAGAGTACGAAAAATTATTTAAAAAATATATTTTTGCGTAATTTTGGAGTAATGGTCAACCTAGTATATATCTTATTAACTTGATTTAATTCAAAAAAATTTTATTCAAAACTGTCTTTTAAACCTATCAGGAATCTAAATATTAGTATGTTGTTATTTTTTGTACACTCTCTATATAAATTTCGACTAATACCCTAACATTTCAAATTTCTTAATATTTAAAAAAAAATTAGATAAGAAGGCCATTGTATTTAAATTTATTACCTACTACTTACCTATTTACTTAAAAATAAAAAAAATTAAACGTCGTAATTTAAAAAATGTGTGTATCAATGTACGTTTTAAATGAGTTAACTTATAAGGGATTTCTTTATAAGCTTACTAGATCATACTTATATTGCCAGAGCATTTCTTTATAAGGTTTGGTTACGCTGATGACGTCATATGTTACATCTAACGAGGCATTTCTGTATAAGCTTACTAGAACATACTATAGTAGAAAACAAAATCAAAACATGCTGAAATTTCTTAAAATTCAAATTCCGTTTCGAAATCCCCAAACTAAAATTAAATATTGCATTACCTAATAGAATACCACGGTATGTATGATATCACCACAGCAACCAAAATACAGTAACCAAGTATGTTGTAGTAAGCTTATAAAGAAATGCCTTAAAAGTATCCACCGAGTGACGTCACAGTTAACCCAGCACAAATCGAACTAATTCAGCTATCCTTTTGTTGTTTGTTGATAGTACTTTTTAAATTTCGCTGGCTGGCGTCATTTGTAAAACAAATAAATTCACTTGGTTCAAAGCTCCTCTATTTACATTTAAAACCCGGTCATACATTGCAAAGAAACGTAGCGCGTAGCTATTTCGTAAATGAACCGACATGCGTTTCCTGGTGCGCTGTTGTCAGGCTGTGTAGTTTATCCCTTTCATATTTAAAAATAGTTTTTACCTATAACTCACTAATAGCAACAAGTTCTATTAATTAGAATAGTTTTGAGATATATTGCGACACATCAAGCGTCCTCACAAATTTATTTTCGTACCTAGTGCAGTGTTTCCAACTCGCATTGTGGGCAGAGATGTTGCAATATTTCCCGAAACATTTCTAATAGTAAATATCTAAATAAAATGACTTGTAACAAAACAAAAAACGTATAAAATATGTACAAAGTAGATTAATCTATTTTAACTGCTTTCAGTAGACTTGGTATTTTAGCAGAACCTATTTTTACACCATTAGGTAGGGCATTTTTGTACCTATCGTTTTTACATACATACGCTTGCTAAGTAACAACTTTGCAAATACTAAGATAAACTGTGGCAAACACCATTATTATTCCTGCAAATAAATGCAAGGATTTTAAAAGCGTTAAACGTGACACCACCGCAATTTAAAATAACTTCATTTCATTCATACTATACGTCACGGACGTCATGTATAGTATTTTATCCATCGATAGTTTGCGACGTTGCGATCCAGTAAATTGTTTTTGTTAATCTTTAGATTTTTTTGGAAAAATTTCGGCTTGTGTATAGCTAACAACATGGTTCGCGAGTGCATTTTGAGCAAAAAACTGGAAAATGTGGGTGCTGAAGTATCTTCTCATAAGTAAGTAAGGTTAGGTGATGATGTATTGCATAGTTCAGTGGTGTAGATTTAAAGATTTTTGCCGTAATATCACATGTATTATCTACTTTTGTATTACTATTATTTTCTTTGACCTTTAAACATTATTAAATTCGCAAAAAATTGTAATTAGTAGAAACACTTTCGTCTGGACTATAGTGGTAAAATAAATATGCTTATGCTTGATTTTTAGATTCTCAACCGAAAGGCGTACAAGAAATATTTAGCTATCACTTGTAGGACTTGTAGGACTTGTAGGACTTGTAGGACTTGTAGGACTTGTAGGACTTGTAGGACTTGTAGGACTTGAAGAAAATAAAGGTATCTAAAAAAGAGTGTTATGCTCGGAGCATTTTGATCCTAATGATATTCATAGGCGCCGGAATTCAAAAATCGCTTTGGGTGCCCGGCTTCTATGCGGAAAATGGGGGCTATCCCCCCCCACCCTCCACACCTCACTTGAAGGTACCACCGGTTTTTTAAAAAGCTATTTTAAAGTTGATTTTATGAAAATTTTCTTGAAAAAAAAAAGGTACTGTTAACTGGCAACTGCTGGATAGGCTGGAGGTTCCCACCTAAAACGGGATATCTGGCAACCCTATATGCTCGGTGCAGCCACCACTGGTATTTAAAAGATATTTTTACATAGATTATAACCCCCACGTTTTAAATCGCTACTGTCTTCCTAGTCATGATCTTTTAACGATTTTTATTTTCTGTAAAACCCTACCAGTTACTCGAGTAAATGCTAGAAATGCTCCATTTCAACTAGGTTACTTGAAAATTTTTTGTGATTTTTTAATATTGATTTCTCAATAAGTTCCAGGGTTTACTATATATATTTTATTGTATAAAACAAAATCTAAATATTTCAAAAACCTTATTTTTAGTTTTTCTCTACTCCATCTAATCAATAAATAATAGTATAATTCGAGAATTGTTGTTGGGGACTTACTTTTTCGTGAGGCACTGTACAAATACTCACATTTTTTAAAAAATAAATTTCAAAAATTTGCAAGGTATAGTTAAAAGTTCAGTATTAGATAAATAAGGACTTCAACTATTAGAAAAAAATTAATTTTAGTCATAATCTAATAACTTTTTTTTTAACATTTGAGGCGAGAGGTGTGGCGAAAGGACCTCCTTAAACACTATCAATGGATAGGTTCATTTTACAAAATTCTTATTGCCAGATCCGCTATAAGAAGCGTTCCATTTAAAATCCCCACCTTGTATATAAGTATGGTAGAATTAATTTAATAAATTTTATAAATTTAGTAGTGTTAAAAATCTAAATTTTATTTAAAAATCTCTCATTTACCAATTTGTAAAACTGTTTAAATATTAACCCCAAAATTGAATTCGTAAATTTGTTTAAAATAAATCTTGATTTATTTATGTTGTTTTCATTTTATTTATTTTATTTTATTTAACATCTTTATATGTAATTAATGTATTATTTTTGGAAAAAAATAGTGTTTTTAAGCTTTTTACCTACATTCCACTGAACTTCATACCCTTATACCAAATCCAATCGGTTTTAAAGTTTAAACCATTATAAAGTTTATTGCACACCATATCGGTTAGTATTTCATTATTTTTTATAATTAAATATGATTTTATCTTTAATAAGATACACCACTGGTATTAACAGACTTTTAGTTACGTACAACAGCAGCGTTGCCAGACGAGATTTTCGATTAGAGTCTGTCTTCTTTCGATCCGCATAAAATATCTTCTTTCTCTTTTCCGATGATTGGGACCAAACAAAACATACTTTATAAATGAAATGCATCATCTGTTATTTCTTTTATCTAAGACTTGGTTCAAAAAGTTTTAAAACCTCTTGGATAACACAAAGTAATTATGTTTCAAAGTTTCCGAAAAGTACATTGTTTATTTCTTTATAGATGACGTAATATTATTATTTTAAAATTATGTACTACACTAATTCAACCAAAATGGATAAATAAATCATCGGGTGTGACCGGAAATAAATTAATAGAACTGTTTTTTAAAGAGTATTTTTTTATATTTCTTTTTCGTTGATTTTAATTGGACACTTGGCAACACCGCGTTAATTTGTATTGACAGAGCATGGTAGATATAATTCGAAATTCTAATGAATAAGTTTACATAAATGATCACTTAATGATCCTCATAAGCCTTTAATATGTAAAACTAAAAAAAAACGTTAATTTATGGGGTTTGCGGTGGTATATTTGAAAAATACTCTCCCTCCTAAAGCCTAAAATGTAAGTTTTGTAAAAAAATTGTATTTTTCAGAAAAGGGCGTCTTCGCAATTATTTACCCTTATTTACTCAAGATCTAGTGATGGCATCTGCATGATGTTGAAGTCGGTTTTTTAAAACTGCTCCCATAACTTGTATCTTTAATCTTTGTCAATTAAATAAATTATTTGTTTCTCTAATTTTATACCTATCCATCAAATCAAAATCCTAAATATGAATTGGACTGGCAAAAGCTATTATTCTCTCGCTAAATGTTTTCAAAAATAGAGGGAAATGTTATTTATTAAAATAATTAGTACTTACATTTAAATTCAGATGTTGCGTCGGCCATTATTTTGTGGAAATCACTTATAATTTTGAAGTTGCATTACCAAAAATAAATTCAATAAGAGTGACAATAATTGGCAGTTTAATGACATGACATTGCGTTAAGTCCGCAAATGTGTGTTTATGAATAGATGACACCGTTTCATTACAGCCATAATTAAAGCTTTTTACGATTTTTTAATGATTCGTACCACGATGAATGACATATTATAGGTGTTTTAACTTCGCTTAAATCCTCAGATAAACAAAATTATATATAGATAAATAACGGGTACCGCTTAACATAAGCCTTGTTGGAAACCAGTATATACGAACGTTTGACAGTTATATTTTCCATGGGAGTATCAAATAGTTTTTTCATCAGAATCCAAAGGATTATTTGTAAATATTTTGTCAAAGACAAATTTAAAGAAAATCCAATTCAAACAAAAAATTTTATTTGACAAAAAATAAATTCTGCAAATATACAGGGTGTCCCAAAAAAGTAGGCCAATCCATTATAATCATAGATTCCTTAGGTCAGTGCAAGAAACCTTTATTATTATTATTATTTTCGATTGGGGCTATGATGTTCAATATACGACTTGCAACTAGCGCCCCCAAAAACCGCAGTGTACTAATTTTAAGCCATTTACTTAATAAAACTACGAAACTAATAAAAAACGTTTTCTTTTTTTTTAATTAACTTTGTCACCCTGTATAATGAACACAATAATAATATAAGTTTCTTACACTGACCTAAGGAATCTATGGTTAACGGATTAACCTACTTTTTTAGGACACCCTGTATATTTGTATCGCCTATATTTATAGTTTACTTACCTTTGAAACGACGTGAAACTTTTCCAAATGTATGTTTGTTGATAACCTGCAGGACTTTGATGAGATGATGAGTTGGGAAGATGGCTGTCTCTAGACACGGATAATACACAATAGGCCTTATGAGGCCTAATTGCTGTGGAGCAACATACCCTCCCTATCTTGCAGATATAGAACACAATTATTAATTACGGATGTTACGTGTTAGTTTAACAGTAATGATTAAAAACGTTTCATTACATCACAGATCTAGAGTGTTAGGAGATAGGCGATGATCATTTCCAATATATTTCAAGTTTATTATAGAGCGCCGCTATGTTTGTCAAACTTGGGATTGAGGAATTTTCGCAGTAAAAAATGTCAATTTCATGTGTCCGTTGCGTTAGCTATCATGATTATTTATCGTTTTTCTGGTTTATCGATCAGTTTTTATTAATAAATTGTATTACTCAGGCAGGCAAGTCAACCGATTTGGCCCTGAATAATATCAACATGCTATTGTCAAAATCCCTGGAGGATAAAAAAATGGCAGTAGCAACTTTCGTAGATATTGAGTGAGCTTTTGGTAATGCCCAAAGAAGATCTATAATTAACGCCCTAACAAGGAAAGGGGTACCAGTAGTCCTATGTCAGTGGATAAAAGCTAGCCTAAAGGAAAGAGTAATAACATTATCTCTGGGCGAAGCTACACTGACAGCTAAAGCAGGAAGGGATCTGTCCCCAGGAAGGAGTACTATCACCCCTCCTCTGGTCAGTACTAGTGGACGAACTCGTAAAAAGGCTAATATCCGCAGATTTCTACTGTCTAGGTTATGCCGATGACCTGGCGCAGATACAATGTCGGAGCGCACACAAACCGCTCTGAACATTGTTGACGAGTGGTGCAGAGAGAAGGAACTAACAGTACACCCTCACATGGAATCAACACTTTTAAAAAGTCCCCCAAAAGAGCACAACATCCTTCAGCTTATGTCGAAGGTTGTGTGGAAGAAATTGGGGACTACAACCAAAAATGTCCCTATGGTTATATACCAGAGTCATAAAGCCGATGATAACCTACGGAAGCTGGAGCCATTCTACATCTCAATGGTATTCAAAGGCAAGCATGCCTGAGTACCACGGGAGCTATGAGAACGACTCCAACAGCAGCTATAGAAGTCATGCTAAACCTAACACCACTACATTAATTCACTCAAGGCGAAGTTAAGTCTGTCACATACAGATTGCACAAAGGTTTATCACACATAAGCAGTTTGCATAGACGCGGTTACAGCGAGTTCTATAAAGAGTTGGACAACTACCAAATAATGGGAATGCCTTCAGATGAAATGCTTCCAAAGCATAGCTTTCAAAAGCAATATAAAGTAAGTATACCAGAGAGGGAAACGTGAATGGGAGGACCTCCTATTCATGTAGAACTCACCTAATATACAGATGGCTCCAAAACCCATGAAAGTTCAGAGTAGGTATATACTCGTATATATAGTACCAAGCCAAGGATAAGAATCTCACTGAGCTTAGGTAAACATGCGACAATATTTCAGGCCGAAATAGCAGCAATACATCACTGCGTATTAAGACAGAAGGTAACTGGAAAAACCATTGTAATATACTCAGACAATCAAGCGACGTTAAAGACCCTCAGTTCCATGCAGCTACACTCAAAGCTTGTGTGGGACTGTTTGGAAGCCCTAACAGAGCTGGGTAGCTAAAACAGACTAACAGCCTGGGTACCAGGCTACAGAGGACATAAGGGCGATGAAAAGGCTGATTTACTAGCCCGAGAAGGAGCCTCATATGCTCTTATTGGCCCAGAACCCTTCTGTGGTGTAACAAAATAACTCTTAGAACTCAAGCAGTGGATTTTAAATCTCAGGAGTAGTGCAAAAACTCTCCAGGACAGAGACAGGCCAAGGAGGTCTTAAAAGGACCATCGCTTAAACTCACCGAACATCTACTAAGCCTTAATATTGGTGATTCGAATACGAATCCTTTAGGATTTCCTCGGCGAATCCGGATCACGGATCCTTTTTTTCATAAGTATTCGAATACCGCTCTCGGATCCTCAAAAAGAATTCGAATATCAGGATTCGAATCCTATGTGATTCGAATCCTCCCCAGCTCTGTTTGTAAGAAGTTACAATAATTTTAGGAGATTTTTTATTTCAGCCGTATCTTTTGATGGTTAATTTTGACTTGATACAAACATTTTAGGTATACGAGTATGTAATGTGGTGAAATAAATATTTTTCACATTTAATAAATTAAACACTCTTACTAGTTTTCATTGTTATTTATGTTCCTTCTCACTATAAAAATTTTATACGATGTAGTGAAATAAATATTTTTTTTCACTTTTACTTAATATAAACACGTTTACAGTTTTGCTGTTTATTTTTATTCTCAGTATAAATTGGTTAATATATATTAGTTAAAGAAAGGACTTAAAAAACCACACGTATCATAATATAAACAAAATAGTTTTATTTTGTTTACTCCTTTCCGCGCATGCTCGCTAATCCAAAAAATAAAAAGATGGCGGTTCACTATTATAAATTTTTAAAGTATATTGCATAGCCTATCTAACACTCTAGATCTGTGCATTATATACATTTTGATTTTTAAATAGTATTTATCTACATTATCCGATTGCATTTCACAGCAAGCTATGCAGCAAACGCATCCGAAAACGTAATAATAGCAGGCTCGTTCCCAAAAAACAATGAAAAACCCCAACTGGCAATAAACGTATATGACAGACATCAAAATATCGGAAAGACAATTTCCGGCTCCAGTTATGATTGGAACAAATGAGCATCGTGATTGAACAAAATGCGAGCACGGCCTACTGTCTAGCTTTGTTTGTTTTCGTAACGGGCTGCGGGTGAATTATTATAACCAATGAAATTTAAGCGCTCGAATCAAAACAAAGCTATTACTTTAATTGATATAAGGGTACCTAAAATAATCTAATACGTTAGCTATTTGGGATTGAATACAATGGGAATTAACTAATAAAAACAAAGCATTTTATAGAGATTATTTGATGAGTAAATAAAAGTGTTGCGTTATATTTTTAGATATACAGAGTGTAACAGAAAGTTATAAATCATTAATTATACCTGATATTTTGGAGAAAAATAAGTCGGTTAGACCTTTAACTATACAGTGTGATATCTTAATAACTTACAATGGGCTATATCTTACAAACGAAAGATAATATAATATATGTATTTTGAAGCGCAAAAGCTTTGGATAGTGATCGTAGAAAAACAAATTTGTCGCTCTTCCCCTTTTTGAAATAAATCCTGGTTAATGCCAATTTTGATGAAAAATTAGCCCAAAAAATCAACAAAATAAGCATAAGTGATATTTTATTTATAAGGATAATTTGTCAATTTTTTTTTAATGGGAATATTTTTATGTTTTACGAATCGCATAGCTTCACTTACTGCTATTTTGTTTTTACTCAAATACATGTCAACTCTACGTTTTTTTGAAAATTGTCCAGGCCAATTCTCGATTTCTTCTCAAACTATATATCCCTGGAGCAATTATTACAGTCTTCTTTTGTCATACTCGTCTTCATCACTAAGTGACACTAAGGAACTAAGGAACATTAAAATGATAAATGGTGGTTGAACCATGGAAACAATCAGCCAATGAAAATAACCGACACATTTTTTTTTTCACAAAAAAAGCGACAAATTATCCCTACACTGAACAATTTGTTAGCATAAAAAAAAATATACACTTGCGTGCATAGAAATCGGCCCACTGTAAACTTTTGACTTTATTTTTTTTTTTTAATTATTCATCAAATCAAAAAAAATATATGCTGTTTGAAAGACAATTTAATATGCTTTAACGTTGTCTAATATTTAATTACTAACAGTAATTTTGTTTAATAATTTAAAAAAAAGTCAAAAGTTTACAGTGGGCTGATTTCTATGCACCCAAGTATATTAACAGTTAACAAATAAGTGTGTTGGATACGGCATAAGTTATATATTTTTATTGTTAACAAACCATTTGTTGCTTGTTCTCAAATAAATATTTTTTAACTATTAATAAATCATATTTTTATTAAAAATTAATATTTCTTAATTATTATATACCTATATCTACGAAAACAACATGTTTCATCTTGTTAATTAATGTACCAATAATTTATTTCCATTTGTTAATTATTAACGATAGACACAAAAAACTGATGTTTTTATTTTTATCATAATTAAATATTTATTTGATATATTTTCTCTTCAAGAGATACTGTTTAAAATGGAATACTGTAAGTGGCAAGTTAGCTACTTGAGAATTCAACATCTACAGATCAATAAAGGCTTTATCAACAGTAGCAGCTTTTGTATATAAAATCAGATTTAGCGAATCCGCGA